CGGATTGAGAAACACTTCTCGGAGAATTTGGCTAGAGTAGTGGCTGAAGAAAACCACGAAAAGCTCGGGATAGCCGGTCTTCGGGCTGAGATTCGTACCCTGGACCTCCTGACATGGCGCCTTCTTCCCTCCTCAGGTGATAACGATGTGCATGTGCGTGACGCTCAGCGCCACGGTCACGCTCGTGTTCCTGTACTTGCCGAAGATGTACATAATCCTCCTCCGACCGGAAAGGAACAACCGGGCGCATTTCACCACCTCCAAGAGCATCCGATGTCACATCGGGAGCCGCGTGGCCTCCGCCATCTCCAGCAAGAGCTCCAACTCGTATTCCGGGGCCGAATCACCCAGGTAGAACCGCCACTGACTTCGTCTCGACGCTTTAACGTCTCAAAATGGCTCCGATTCTCAGAAGTTCCATAAATTTTTATACGATTTAATCCACACGCAAAAAGAAATCCAGTCGACACGTGACGCGGTACCCGATTAAAGTTTCCTTTCAGGTGGATTGGTCGTGGTGTTCAACAGACTTGCCACCGCGATCACCGGACCTCACGCCTCCACAGATTTCCATTAAACATAAGATATTATTGTACTGACGTAATGTCACCAGACATCCTATAGATCGTCCTGATGATGGAGGTAGTACCTCCGAAACGTCATTTTTGATATTAACCGCCGTGAGAACCAGAAATATCGCCAAAAAACCCTTTAATTCGACTGGTAACTGTGACTTCCGTGTTTTATTTGCGGTACGGACTGAATTCTGTAATATTTGAATGAATTTTTGTGTGCTACGAAGGATTAATGATCGCGCATGCGCAATGCAGTCTTTCGATTCCGGTTCATTTCGTCAATTCTTCTCGTTTCTTTTGTTCAGGGAGAGACCCGTCGTTGCCTTCCGCAGGCCCGGGCGTCCAGACACCCTGATCGGAAGCAATCTCTCAGCATCGACTGCAGTCGGAGGCAGCAGTCGATTTGGACCGGTTTGCAACCCGCAGCAAGGTCCAGCCGTGCCCTGGCGGGCGCACGACGACACCAGTGAACTCGTATTCGCCGGTGAGTTCCTGAAATGTCTTAAGATTTGTCTCTTGGTGTAGACTGTCCCTCCCAGAAGAATTAGCGATTATTTCCCTAAACATTATTAACTCGTTGCTCGTTGATGTGGAAAACACAATTTTTTATTAGCATCGTTCATTGTTGTTCTTCCCGCAGAAAAAAAATAGTAACAATCACTTCTTGTGGGTGTGATGATCATCGTATAATCTCCTTTGCATTTTGTATCAATGCGCGTAAAGAACACGCTCGACCCACGACATTCAAGGTAGGTTCACAGGAGACTGTCCGTTTCTGCACTCTAGTGAGAATACTTCAAACTACGTCGGAGTGTTGGGATGGTCTCGAGGGCTCAAGAGCGTACCGAAAGAGATGCTGGCACTTTTTAACAAGGTTAAGGCTTTTCCCTCCCGAATAGATTTCAAGGCTATTTATATTACTTTACATTAGCGATAATTTAAGATAAATTACTGCACGCAGCCACACAATTTCATGAAGATCAGATTAAGAAGCTGTGGTCCGTAAGATGTTATCTTTGCCACGCAAATATGAAGGAATTTATAAGATGGCGGAGTTAATGAAGACCTATATGAACTGAAATAGAGTATTTTATTCTTTTTTTATTTTAAAATGTTAGTCAGGAATGCATACACAGGTTGTTTAATTTTAACCGTCTAATCACAATAAAATATTTTATTAAATATTAAAATATTATTACTACAATTAACATTCAATATTTAAATATTTAAAATATATTAAAATTTACAATTAGATATGACGCAACATTATCATCTCATACACAGGTTTATAAACGGAATGGCAGTTCAGACGTCTTTTATTTATTGACTAATTTTTTTTAAATAATCTTACGTGTTTCTAATGGCACAGGGCTTTTGTTTGATAAATCGAGGAATATATTTCGTACGTGTATCTGAGAACTGTAAGCTAAAGTTCGAACGCCGTCTGTGGGCAGTTGGCATATAATAAGTCACGAGTCGCCTGAGGTTATCCAAACTTAAAGCAAACCTTTGCTCTCGAAATGAAGAAGAATATTTTGGAACGTTTCTCTATAGAGAGATCCCGAAAATCCATTCTCCATCGGATTGTCTTCAACAGCTCTCATGTCCTCCAGCGTCAGATGTTCCAAATCCACGGCGTCTTCCGGGTCAGCGAGTATGAGGTTAAGCAAAGTACAAGACGTAATAAGCCCAAAAACTGCCTTGTCCTCAAAGTCTTTTCTGAGCTGCTGGAAGGTAAATTCCACATCGGAACATCCCAGGATGTGCAGTGTCTCTCTCAGCTCGACGTGGTAGGCATTCAGGAGGTCGTCCGTGTGTTCGAAGCGGACTTCTTCATTTGGACTTGTGTACATGAAGTACTGAAGGTCCAAAGCCGGCGATGTGAACCGTGAAATTTGAAAATCGACAAATTTTACGTCTAGAACTTCGTCGCGGTCGGAAGAATACCTGAACATTATGTTGTTCGTCCAAAAATCCCCGTGGTTTAAGACGGACAGCGATCCGTCTTTGGGTCTTGCAACTTCTGTTATCTTTATAAAGCTTGTTTCGGCTAAGTCTCTTAACTTATCCTCGAAACGTTCATATCCGGGCCAATTTGCAATGGCAGAAGCCAGACGCCTTATGGCTGGTTCCATGTAACTGCTGATAATTGGATGATTCTTTTCTTTGTAAAAAACTTCACTGAATGAACTCATAGATTTTGGGTCCTTCTTGTGAAGTGCGACGGACATACCGTGGAAACGTGCCAAAGATCTCAGTGCCATTTGACAGTGGGAGAGGTCGAGACCTTTTCTGCGGTCGGCCATTTCGTAGCCGAGAACACGAAGGTCTTCCAGGACGAGAATGTCAGGTTCGGAGTGTATGCATCTGCATGTCAGATGGTGCGCCTTCGAGCCGTTCAGCTGTTCTGAGAGCCGGTACATCGCTGGTAATGCTTGAAGATACACGTCTGTTTCTCTCTGGAATATTCCTGTCTCGGTCAAAAGATGAATCATGATTTTGGCCGTCGGAAGGCTCTTAACTATGAAGCTGCTGCTCCCAGTGGAGTCGATGTGGTCCACATCTTTGAAGCAGTACTTCACTTTGACGCGCAGAAGACAGCTGGAGAAATGGTCCCCTTTCGGAACTGCAGGCCGGGCGTCGTATTTTGTTACTACGATATTTGAACCACTGACCTCGTTCCCAATTACAGACTCCAGGAATCCTTTATCCAGCCAATCAGGGACAGACGAAATGTTCTCCATGTTGTTTTTCCACAAGTTTCGGTGACGCTGTGAACATAAAATGTGATGCATTATTTTTTTATAAGTTCTGTTGGTTTATCTGACGAATATGCCTCGGTTTCTCGTGTTTATGAAGTGTCCCGCGTAATTTGTAACCCACTTACTACGGTTGTGACCTACTCATTCGACGATAGTTTACTCCCTTCTGCGGTATGCTGTCGTTCTGGGTCCTATGTTAAGTGGGACACTCTTTATAACATCGAATTCCCATATTAAGTGGGACACTCTTTATAACATCGAATTCCCATATTAAGTGGGACACCCTTTATAACATCGAATTCCCGTATTAAGTGGGACAACCTTTATAAACATCGAATTCCCATATTAAGTGGGACACCCTTTATAACATTGTACATTACAAACACGCACGCACATACAAATATTGCTCTAGTGCATGAAAGTCTGAAGATGACTATAATATTATAAGTCGAAACGTGTATGTATGAAATTCTAGTTTGTTTGTTATTGTCATCAGTATACGCACAGTTGCTGTCATAATCAGTAACATTGGCAAACTATTTAAGTTTCCTTACCGTATTTATCGTTTCCTGGCCCGAACCGCCTGGGCTCTGTCGAGTCTCGGAAGTCAGGATGCTCTGGTCGGCCGCCTCCTTACCTGCTGACTCATGGTTTCCACGTAAACTGGCGTCGTGCTTACGGCGCCTGCGCCGTCAGTTTATTTAAGCAACTCGTATCGCAGGTTGCGTCTGGCTCCTTGGTTGCCCACTTTAATAGTCGAAGGTTCTGACGCATTCACGTAATATTCCAGCATATCTGAACGTCGTGAATTTTGTTTCTTTTACAGTTCTCTTATAAAAGAGTGCGTTAGATTTTAAAGTGCGTGCTGGTCTTAGTAACTTAAGACACTTTAAGTGTTCGCTGCATTTTAATTTACTCGTCCTACTTATTCCGCATTGCCACATTCATTCGACCTTGAATTGGTCTGCAGTTAATTTATATTTAAGTGTAGTTTTGAGGCCTGTTTTTGTGTTGGTGTTTGTGAGACGTTTGTAATTGTCATGACATAATTTCCTCTGTGTAAAAGTTACAAGTTTTTGCTTTACTGAATTTAACCTCTGGCCTGTTTTGTCCTTGTTTTGCCCTCGGATTCTTTGTTGTTTTTGTTGGCACTGAGAAATTACTCGTGTTATTTTTTTTTGAGCAATAATTAATTCTATAAGGCGTTCTGAATTATACCAGTTTTTTTATATTTGAGATTTATTATACTCTACGTTTCAGCTTGCATTCCTTCATTTTGTTAAGGTTCTTTGTAATCTTTAACTTTTGCACTAAATCTATGTATGAAGGTATTTACGATCTGAAGTATAATGTTTGTATATTATAAAAAGTTACGATGTCATACACGCAATATATTATTGTTTTGCTACACATTTGATAAACTGATGTAAGGAATTTGGATACTTATGTCGAAATTTTGTAGGGCTCATTGCGAAACCTGTGGTTTTTACAGTGACTCGCTGAACGGAAAGTAATCTTCGTTCACTGTTATGCCCTATTCCTCTTCTCACTTTATCAACATCAATTTTCAAAATGCTAAAAGAAAAAAAACATACAAATTTTCATAATTTTTGATAAATATAACATAATTTAAAATTTTTACGAACGTTCACAAAATTGAAAGAACTTTTAAAGCTTCCAAATTTAGAGAAAAAAAATATCGAAAAATTTCAAAAGTTCACAGAATAAGAAAAATTCAAAAACTTCGAAAACACAAAAATTTCCAGAATTAAATAAAATAGAATTTTTTTTAAAAAATTCAGCATTTTAACAGAGCCTAGCGTAGCCTAACTTAACCTATCACAACTAAACTAATTTTAATTAAACTATCGTGATCTGAACCTAACCTATTCCCGATGCTCGTACCAGGGCAAAGTACGAAGATTATGGACGGTCTAAGGAGGTCGAGTACAACAGATAGGAGCAGTGTTAAAGTTGGCCTTTCTTCCAGAGCACTTACGTCTTGTAATCATTTACAGACTTCATGCATTAGCGGACTAGATTTATTCATGCAGGAGTGGCTAAAAGTCTAACAGATATATTTTAAACGAATTGTTATAGATACTGTAACGTGAAGTTTTCTTGTCCAAAGAAATTATCTTTTTCTGTGATGACCAAAGAAATTATTTACGTGTAGGATCAGAGTTTCCTTCCGTAGTTCCAACCAACCAACCAAAGAAGCTAACTGAGGGCAGAGGCCTGCGCAAGCGCAAGCATCGTCCCTACCTAGGTGAAACCATTCCTGCGCACAAGACGCATTGCTGGAAATGGTAATCGGTCGTAATATAAGAACGGAAATTTTGCTAACGCTAACGGGGTTTCGTCGTGGCGGGAGCCTCGACCATTCAAACTGGGATTTGTTGCTGCTGATGGGAGGTTATCCTGTCAGGCAAGTTGTCGAAGGAATTTGGTTGGTTGGGCCTTCCGTAGTTGCACTCTGCACTATTATTTATTAATCCGGCCCGTACCGCAAAGTAAACACAACACTTCACCATTCACACCGAGAATTATACGAAGCTTACGAAAAGTCGAGACTTATAGATTGTGAATCAGTGCGATAGACATCGACCACTAAGCTTTAAATGGTAAATATTTATTTATCGAGTTTTACCTATTTGTTAAGCTACGTACTGGCACGTTCATGTGCAAATAACAATGTTTATTTCCTACCTGTATTATTAGCACATCCTGGATATTTGTGCCTCGGCCTACAACACGTTCAGAAATCGTGTTGACTCCGTCGACATTGAAGTAGTGAGCGGTTGCTACTTCAACGCAACTGATGATTCAGCTGATAACCCCTTTAATGGCGGCAAACGTTGATATTGGTGCTACACTCTACAGAGCGTAGCTGGAAACAAGATAAATTTAAATGTGGCATTTGTTTTTAAATTTGCGCGGTGCTAATTTGAAATAAATAAATTGTTTCACGTTTCTAGTCCCTGCCATCAGATTTTAAAATAATCAAGATTCCTGTAATTTTCTGAGTAAAAATATTAATCTGGCGAAGTAGCTTTGTAGGTAAAAGTACGCGGTTCGAACACCGGCTGGATCTTTGCTAAGCTTTCTTGCCGTCATTTCCCACAATTTCTGTAACAAGGGGCTCTCGTCGCACGTCATACCTTGTGAACTAGCCTCTGTGCGCTGTAGTGACGTGGGACTTCAGATACGCCTCTGTTAGCCTAATCTCTCGATGCTGTGTAAACTGTAAACCTTATCATTATGTAGACTTATAGATCATTTTTAATATTTCTTAGAAAGATAAGATTCCTTAAATAATTACGTGATCATGTAACATTGTAAATATAGTTCAATGCCATAGACAAAACCTTGTAAGGTGTTCAAATATATCATAAATTTGTTGGGAAATTTAAGATGTGCGGTATATTTGCGTTTATTACGTTTTCAATACACGTGATTTTGGGCCTTGATGGATAATATTTATGACTGTGTGTGTTCACTCATTTCGGACCTTCCGTCATTCTTGGCGGATAATTTCCTTGTTTTGAATCTAATAGGAACTTTTTTCCTTGGATAGTCAAGGCTTTTGCGTATACAAGCTTGCGGTGTCTTACAGTCTGTTGTAAATTGCCCGCTACATTTCATTCTTTTGTTTATTTTTAAATTTGTTTTTCTTAGTTTACAAATAAACACTTATATATTTTTATATATTTTAAATCTTGTCCGTCTAATCACAATAAATTCTTATTAAATATTAAAATATTACAATAATTAACATTTAAAATATTTAAAATATATCAAATTATGTTCTTTATCGAAATATTCGATTTACATTAGACCATCATTATTTCGATAAAGAACATCATTTAATATTTTAAATATTTTAAATGTTAATTATTGTAATATTTTAATATTTAATAAGAATTTATTGTGATTAGACGGACAAGATTTAAATAATATATATTTATTATATCACAATATGACGCAACTTTACCATCTCATGAATAAACACTTGTTTATTATAACAGGAAAACAAAATTATCTGTACACTTTATACTTTTGTTCTATCTTACTACTTTCTTCTCTTATTATATATCACGGTTTATTAATCTTCTATATGTGGTAGAACACTAAAATACATTTCAGTATATCACGTGTCTCCAAATCGCTTTAAATTCGTTGTAGTATTTGAGATTTACAAGGCGGTGAATCCGAAGATGGCTATCTTCTGAGTTGTTGCGCCGCGTAGTCTGGTAGGAGTTTACCGACGTTTCGGAGGGCCTTGCTGTCTCCATCATCAGGACGATGTTTCATAGAGGCAGGGAGAAACCAAGAACGTCTAATATGTCGGTAAACCTCTACCAGCCTACACGGCGCAACAACCCAGAAGATAGTAATCTTCTTTAAAATCGTTATTCATATTTAATTATATTTATAATGCATGTAATTTAGTGTTAAAGTGATACGCGTAACATTTGTTTGGAGACCTGTTTGGTTACACGCAATATTCTTGTGTATGTGATATGAAAATGTTTCTTATTTTGTGGGACGTGTCTGGAACTTAAGGTTTGCAGTGTCTGATCTGAGTTATCAAAATTCCGCGTGTGACTGGTTTTATTTCTGTTGAACATCGACTAAATCACGTTTCTTTCGGGCCAACAGTCCTTTGTCATCGTAGTGACGTAGAAATGTCTGCGCCACGTGTCTGTAGCGTCTGCCCGAAATTGCCTTCTCCATGGGATGATGATCTGCGCCCCCGTTCATGTGTTCCTCTTGCAATTCGTTCAAGTCCGGTATTTCATTTGCTCCGGCCAGCATCGTACTTAAGTATGTAAATACAATCAGCAGTCCGAATACTTCCATCTGTTCAAATTCGTCTTTCAGCTGCTGAAACGTGAACCCAGATTCGAGACCCAGGACTTTCAGGGTGTCCGTGAGTTCTGCGTGGTACTCCCTCAGCAAATGATCTCTCCCAGCGAACCGGATGTCATCATTTGTGCTTGTGCAAAGGAAGTATTGGAGATCGGCTGCTGGAGATGAGAATCGAACAAGCTGGAAATCGATTAGTTTCACGTCATCGATTCTGCCTGTCTTCGGACAGTAATGGAACATCATATTATTTACCCAGCAGTCTCCGTGGTTTAATACATTCAGAGAATCTTTCTTTGGTTTAGTAGCGTTTACTAATTGGTCCAGAGCTGTAGGAATCAGTTCTCTGATGCTGTCTGCGAGATGTTCGTACCCAGTCCATTTCTCTACTTCACAAGCGACGGTGTTTATATTTTGTTTTAAGAATATGCCCGTTTGTACTCGACTTTTATCCGTGTCCTGATACAGTTCCTCGGTGTAGCTATCGATACTGGATGGATCGACTTTGTACAAAGCCACTGATGCTGCGTGAAATCTTGCCAAAGCCTTGACGGCCATCCTGCAGTGTTCGACATCGAGACCAGTCACTCTGTTCCCCATCTTGTATCCAAGATTTTGTAGGTCCTCCAGCACGATAATGTTGTCCATCTTATTTGGGAAGAATCTTGCAGACAGTGGAAGCGTCCTTCTGTTCGTGGACGTTTCGGAATCTTTCAACGCACGGTACATCGCAGGTAGAGTATCTTCATACATCTGCAACTCTTTCTGAAATCCTTTCAGATCAAACAAGAGATTTTGCAAAACCTTTCCGGGCGGGAGTGTTTTGAGAATCATGAAATGTTTGTTTACGCCATTTTCAATTTTGCTGTCTTCGGATTTGACTGCTATCCGATACAGCGTGCTCATATAATTACTTCCTTTCGGAACAGCTGGCTTCACGTCCAGGTCTATGATAGAGAAGTTCTTGATGTCATCCTCTTCTGAGATGATTTCGGCCACGAATTCAGCGTTCAACCAAGCAGGTATCGATACTTCAGCATTTGTGGTCCCCATCGTGGATAAAAATGACGTCTGCACAGTAAACAGAAAACAATTGTAATGTAAAACGAAAGGTAAAGTAGACGTAGCCTCTCCACTTAAGCACATCTCCCTCCAATGAGGATAATTATGTGTTTACGCTTATTCTTTAAACTACTATCCTAACATCGCAGTGAAACTGGGTCTGATTTTATGGGTTGTGACAGACACCGTTTGAACTTGTAGGTAGGTATTTCATTCCTGAAGATTGAAGCAGCGTGTTCCACCTAAATGTCGTTGTCTGCCC